AGCAAGCAGGTCTGAGGACCAAGCACAGAGGAAACAGGCTGGTCAGTTTCATGTCAGCAGCCCCCAGGAAGCTGGCATGGGAAGGGACTGCTGGGCTCTCACATCCTACCAATCTCAAGGACCTGCTGCAGTTGGCTGAGCCTTGGAAGAAATGCATACTATGCTGTTACCCAGGAAGGCTGTCCAGGCTCCAAGTAAAGCAGCCTCAGAGTGACCCAAATTATAATGAGGATAAGGGAAGCATCATACAGTCATGGAACAGGGCACTCTGAGGGTAGGTGGATAGGTGTTTTCTGGAGGCAGGGCTGGCATCTGGGAAGGAAGAGGTAGGGAAGGAAAGGGAGGCAAGCCTTTGGCTTTGCACAAATCTGCAACCCTTAGAATGGAGCAATTGTGTCCACTCGATTGACTCTGAGCTTGGCATGTGACTTGCTTTGGCCGATGCTGTGTGAACAGATGTGATGTTTTCCAGGTCAAAGCTGTTACGCTAAAGTTGCTCGTGTGGTTTGCTCTGCAACCCCTGGAGCCTCTGCTCCCCCATCATGAGAATAGTCTGCTCTCAGCATAAGAGTCCTATGGGGACGTGAACTCCACCAGTAACCAGGAGCCTCATATAGCCAATCCCAGCAAAGCCCAGCAGAGCCGCCGGGCAAACCACAGAGCCCCAGGAAGAAGAAATAATGCTTGTTTCTGTAAGCCATTGAGGCTTGGGGATGTGTGTTACTCAGTATGATTGTTGCAGATACCTGCCTAACACACCAGATTTGTTGGAGTCAAGGTTGGTGTTGTTCCACCACACCACCCTACTTCTTGAGAATTGGAGTTTTGAAAAACCGCATAGCCCCTCAAAAACTAAAGCCCTGTTGTCATTGTTATTAATTTACTCAAATTCCTCATTCGTTTTACAACTGCAACTAAGCCTTTTTCTTCCCCTTTTCTTTCCTTATTGTCACAGAAAAGAACCAAAGCAAATAACTGAGATTTCAGCTCCATTAATTTTTCAGGGCACCATAAATTAAAGAGCAATTGCAATGCAGTCAATTTCTGCGGGAAAATAAGTCTCCGTGATTGTGCTTTAGTCTAATTACATGGAAGGCTAAGTAGCGCTATTAATACCCAGAAGCACAAGCTATTACCAAGGAAGGTGCCAGGAGCAAAGAGGCAGCCCAGGAGGCTGAGAAATGCAGGGATGCCGGTCAGGGAAGACCAGACCTTGGCAAAGAGGCCAGGTCCTGTCGACAGCCATGGCAAAGGAGAGCCAGGAATCTCCATTTGGAGGTCCCTGACCTGGACAGTCCCTGATGGTAGAAATTTATCATTTATTCATCTAACCAACAGTCTGCCATCCATCCATCCATCACCCATCCGTCCACCATCCACCCATCCATCCACCATCCATCCATCCATCATCTATCCATCCACGCATCTATCTGTCCACCCATCTGTCTACCCATCCATCTATCACCCATCTGTCCACCATCCACCCATCCATCCACCATCCATCCATCCATCCATCCATCCATCCATCCATCCATCCATCCATCATCTATCCATCCACCCATCTATCTGTCCACCCATCCGTCTACCCATCTATCTATCACCCATCCGTCTACCATCCACCCATCCATCCACCATCCATCCATACATCCATCCATCAACTGTCTATCCACTCATCTATCTGTCCACCCATCCATCTGTCCACCCATCCATCCATCCCCATCCATCCACCCACCCACCTTTCCATCCATTCATCCCCATCCACCCATCTACCCATCCATCCATCCATCCATCCACTCATCCATCCATCCATTCTTCCATCATCCATTCATCCATCATCCATCCATCCATCTACCCACCATCCATCATCAATACATCCATCCATCCACCCACCATCCATCCATCCACCCATTCATCTATCCACCCATCCATCATTCATCCATCCATCCATCCATCCATCCCCATCCACCCATCCATCCACCCATCCATCATCCATTTATCTATCCATCATCTACCCACCCACCCACCCATCCATCTATCCATCCCCATCCATCCATTTATCCATTCATCCATCCATCCCCATCCATCCATTTATCCATCCATCCATCCATCTACCCATCATCTATACATCTATTCATCCATTCATTCATGTGTCCGTCCCTCCTCACCCATCCATCCACCCACCCATCCTCGATCTGTCCATCTAACTAATATTTTCAGCCAGGCAGGCACTTTAGATTAAAATGGTGAAAAAGACCAGACACCTTCCCTGCCCTCAAGGAGCTTACCCCAAGTGTATGTATTGGGTGTAGACAATAACCAAATGATTACACAAATATATAGTTACCTGACATGGTTTCGCTCTGTGTTCTCACCCAAATCTCATCTCAAATTGTAATCCCCACATGTGGAGGGAGGAACCTGGTGGGAGGTGATTGGATCACGGGGGCAGTTTCCCCCATGCCGTTGTTGTGTGATAATGAGTGAGTTCTCATGAGATCTGATGGTTTAAAAGTATTTTGCATTTCCCGACTTGTGCTCTCTCTCTCCTGATGCCTTGTGAAGATGATGCCTGCTTCCCCTTCGCCTCCCACCGTGATTGTAAGTTTCCTGAGGCCTCCCCACCCATGCGGAACCTTGAGTCAATTAAACCTCTTTCTTCATAAATTAATCAGCTTCAGGTAGTTCTTTAGAGCAGTGTGAAAACGGACTAATAGATACCCATTGTGATCAGTGTTGAGAAAGAGAAGCACAGGAATATGGAAGAGTGTGAAATACTGGGGCTCAAGCTGACCTGGGGTGGCACAGGGAAGGCTGCTGACTTGGGCAGCTTGTGTTTGCCTTCCAGGTCCATGATGTCTCTTTCCAACCCTTCTCTGATCCTGGGAGCTGACCTATGTAGACAGATCCTCCCTTCTCTGACCCTGAGACTGACCTGTGTAGACAGATCCACAGCCTCTTTCCTCGAGCCTCTGATTGGATTCTGCCTGTGGGAAGCCTCAGTGCATTGGAGAGAGAGAGGCATGTGCTATTCCTCTCGTTCCCTGACTGTTCAGCCACAGTTTGGTTCAGTTGCTCTACTCAGAGCCAGGCCTCCTACTGGGACCCTTCCTGCAACTGTGGAGCCCACACCTCCTGTTGGGCAGAGGTGCTAGGTTCAGAGTGGCCTCTAAAAGGTATCCACGTCCTAATCCTTAGTACCTGGGACCATTACCTCACAGGGCAGAAAGGGAGCCTGCAGATGGGATTGCTGAGGTCTCCAGATGTGAAGATCACCCCAGGCTATCTGTGTGGGCCCTAAATGAAAGCCCCTGAGTCCTTACAGAAAGTAGGAGCAGAGGAAGATTCACACACACCCACACACGTCCACATACACTCACACAAACACACACGCTCACACACACTCACCCACACATGCTCATGTACACTCACACAAACACACATGCTCACATAGGCTCTCACACACCCCCACACATTCACACACCCCCACACACCCTCACACACACACGTTCACATAGGTTCTCACACCCACATGCTCATACACACCCCCCACACTCATCTACACTCACACAAATACACATGTTCCCATAGCTTCTCTCACACACACACCCCCCACACACGCACACGCTGACATGCTCAGTTTCACACTCATAAACACCCACACACTCACATACACTCTCACACATGCACATTTATGTACACACCTCCCCACACATGCACTTTCACACTCACACGCACATGCACTAACACCCACACCCACACTCACATTCACACCCACACTCACACATTCTCATAAACACACCCACACACCCACAAACTCACATACACTTTCATGCACACACCCACACCCTACACACACTCATACAATCACACACACACACTAACTCACACCCACAATTTACACACTCAAATACACCTTCACACCCATTCTCACACTCAAACACCTCACCCACACACATACCCACACACTCATATACACGTTCACATCCACATACACTCATTCACACTCACAGTCTCACACCCACCCACACACTCACATGCACTCACACACATGCGTACACACACACACACACACACACAGTAGGCAGTGTGGAGATGGGGCAGTGGAGATTTGAAGCCTGAAGGTATGGAGACAGCCAGGAGACACTGGCAGCTGCCAGCAGCTGGAAGAGACAGGGTTGGACTCCTCCCTAGAGACCAGGTGGAACACGGCCCCACTGACACCTCGATCTTGGCCCAGCGATGCTGGTTTTGGAATGTGGGCCTCCAGAATTGTGAGAGAATAAGTTTCTGTTGCTTAAACCACAGCCTGTGGCCATCTGTTCCCACGGCTGCAGGAAAGGAACAAAGTCCTTTCCTCTAGCCCTTTCCTACTGGGCCCTCCCCAGCCCCCGGGCCCTCTCCCTCCCCAGCCTCAGAACCCAGGTGGACCCCTCCCTGCAGATGCAGCCCAGTGCTCCCCACCAGGCTGGAGCCCCGCTCTCCCACTCACCCAGGGACAAGGCCTCAGTTCCCTGCTGAGCCCCACGGACACAGCTCCCAGAGGAGGAGATGCTGATTCGGGAAAGAACAAGTCACTGCTCTCGGCGAGGGTAGAAGAGCATTCCAGACTGAGGGGAAGGCCTAGTGAGGTGTGATGAGTGTGGGGAATGTTCCGGAAGTAGAGAAAGGCCCTTGTGACTGGTGTGCAGAGAGGGATGGCGAGTGGTATGATCCTAATCGCCTGGTACTCACTGGTTCCTCTCTTGAGCCTCCGAGCCTGGTGCACTGCCCACCTGACCACTTCACTCAGCTCCCACAGCACAGCCAAGAGGGCACGGTCCCTCGAGGGGGCACCAAGGAGAGGGCAATGGCGGGGTCCGGGGTCCTGGCCTCCAGCCCCGGGAGGCTCCTCTGCAGTCAGCCCAGGGGTTCTGGGTCCGCTCCACGTGGGCACTCGCCTCCAGGTGGGTCAAGCAGACCCCAGCCCCACACGCCAGGCGAGAGGCATCCATACAGCTTACCTTGCTCTCCTTTGTGTAGGCGAGCACCTTGTCCTCCTCCTTAGGGTGGAAAATCAGAGTATCCACGAAGAAGGGAATGGGCTGCTTCTGAAAGGTGGCGCCTTCGTCCACACTGAGGAATAGGCTCTGGTCCCGGTCACTGAGTGAGGAGCTGACAAGGATGACCTGAAACACAAAGCGGGTTATGAGGCCCGGACCAGGTGCGCCTCTCCCCCAACATCTGAAAGGGGGTTGTGAGGCCTGGGCTGGGTGTGCCTCTCCCCTCTAACCCCTGACACCAGGGAGGAGTGCCCAGAAATGGCGGGCCCGCCCCCAGCCCAGCCAGCTCAGCCTAACTATAGCCATCCATTCATGGAGTCTCGGGACCAGCCCCTCACCCCTGCACACCAGGGAGGAGATGTCCAGAAACGGCGGGTCCACCCCCAACCTGACCAGCTCAGCATGAATCACAGCCATTCACTCATCCATCTATTCATTCATGGGGTGCCTGGGCTGGGTTTCTCCACACACCAGGGAGGGGTGCCCAGAAATGGCGGGTCCACCCCCAACTCAGCCGTCTCAGCCTAACTGTAGCCACACATTTAGGCATTCATTCATTCACTCATTCATTCATTCATGAGTGCCTGGGCTGGGGCCCCCCCACACGCCAGGGAGGGGGTGCTGCAGAAATGGCAGGTTTCCCCCAAACCCAGCTGGCTCAGTGCTAATCATAGCCATTCATTCATTCATTCATTCATGGAGTGCAGGCCACTGTTCTGGGCCCTGAGGCTCCACTGTAAATGCAGGGTTCACGGCCTCTGCCATGAATTCGAATCCATTCCCGAGAGCCAAGACAGGTGAGCACTCAAAAACCCTGTCTAAAATTCTGTTTCAGGGAAAACTGCCCCAAAGCAGGACCAGGGATGGACGGAGAGGCAGTGACTGGGTGCGGCCCACTACCTTCAGCAGAGGAGATCACTGAGCTGGGGGTCCCTGGGGAACTCAGGGGCAGGCCCGAGGGGCTGATGAAGGGAACTGAGCAGGAGGCAGACATGGGGCTGGAGCAGCAGCCGGGGGGTTGGGTCTGCAAAGCCTCGGACAGTGGTACAGTGGGTTGTATGGTGACCCCACAAAGATTCGTCAACATCCCTACCCCCAGCACCTGGGACTGTGATCTTATTTGGAAATAGGGTCTTTGGAGACGTGGCTAAGCATCTCAGGATGAAGCCATCTGGATTTAGGGTAAACCCTAAATTCAACAACTGGTGTCCTTATATGGAGAGGGTAGGTAGGGACGCAGAGAGAAGGTGACACACAGGCAGAGACGGGGGACGCACCTGGACGTCACCACGGCCATGAACTGCCGGCAGCCTGGGACGCTGGGAGAGGCACAGAGACGGGGGACGCACCTGGACGTCACCACGGCCATGAACTGCTGGCAGCCCGGATGCTGGGAGAGGCACAGAGATGGGGGACGCACCTGGACGTCACCACGGCCATGAACTGCCGGCAGCCTGGGACGCTGGGAGTGGCATAGAATGAAGAGTCCTTCTGAGCCCCTAGAAGGTACCAGTCCGGCCAACACCTTGGACTCCCGGTATCCGTACTGTCAGAGGATACATTGCTGCTGCTTTCAGCCCCCTGGTTTGTGGGTCTTTGCAATGGCAACCCCAGGAAACACACACAAGAGCTCTGCCAACCGGGGATCCTGTTATTTGAGGCGGGAGGTCTCTAGGGAGGCGTGATGAAGGGATGGGTGGCCTGGATTAGGTTTTCAAAGGGGCTCACACAGGAGTGGGTCATTTAGAAGGAGATCCCCTTATCCCAGCTGGGTTTGGTGGCTTGGTCAGATTCGGGCCATCGAATCTCTACATTCAGAATGACAGACACCCAGACACTCACAGGTGGCCCCGGGGCCACTTTGTTTTGCAATTAGCAGACAAGGCGGCAGACAAAACTTACCTGAAGTCACACAGCCATGGAATCTGAACCAGGTTACCCAGAGACTGAGTGTGCACCCCTTGCTTTGATCCTACAAGCACACAGTGTTCGGTTGTTCTTTCGTTTGTTCCTTCCTTCCTTTCTTCCTCCCTTCCTTCATTCATTCCCTCATTCATTCATTCCCTCATTCATTCATTCATTCATTCCCTCATTCATTCATTCATTCATTCCCTCATTCATTCATTCCCTCATTCATTCATTCATTCCCTCATTCATTCATTCATTCATTCCCTCATTCATTCATTCCCTCATTCAACAAACATGTACAGTCCTGGCTTACCCAGGCACTGGGTACTGCAGGGATGGGGGTGAGGCACAGGAGCAGTTGTGGCTGTGTTGGACATGGTTCTCATCCTAACAGGGGACCCAAAGCCAGTCCCAAAGGAAGTCTCCCTTTGGAGCCAAGCGTTTGACTCCAGAGCCCTGTTCTTAGCCACACACTGCAGGGTGCGCCCATGCAGGATGGGGTGTTTAAGCTGGGCCTTGCGTGGGGCTGGGTAGGACCAGCCCTGCTGAAGATGAGCACAGCTTTCCTGGGGAGGGCAGTGGGCAATGGCACGAGGCGACTATTGTGGCCTTGCCAGGCCCCAGAATATCTCCAGAAGACAATTAAACTCATGGAGCCAAAATCAATAGGCTGCCTGGGGTGCCTGCCTTTAAGTGAATGAATGGTGATCCCATAGATCCTTTCTTTCCAGGTAAACCTTCATGAACTTCCCCGCTACGGTCACTAATCTCTGCTAACACAAAACCCTGCTCTCTCAGCACACCAAGGGCCTGACGGAGAACGACGTGGCCTTCATGGAGAGCGATTCCTTGGACGACTTTTGTCCCCGAAATGCGGACGAAAGTGTGTACTCAGAGCTGTGCCTCTTGGTGTGGTTTATCCGTAAGAAAAAAAAAAAAGGAAGAACTGAGGGGAGCCTTCGATTACATAATAATGTTGGCAAAGAACACGTAACGACTGGGGAGCTTATGTGCTCATGAAAAACAGCAGGGTGCAAAATTACAAGGAAGTACGCTTACTGTACATACCACATTGACACGGTGAAAACGCGGTCTGTTAGGATTCTGTTAATGACGAGTGAGTGGGTAAGCAGGTATATTTTTATCAAAGGGAAATGGCCAGAAATAAGAATGGAAGGCAGCTTGGTGGGATGTAAGAATGATTGGTCTTAAGTGGTGGGGCTAGAAGGAATTTACTTTTTTACTTTGATAGAATAGTTTCAGATTTACAGAAAAGTTGCAGAGACAGTGAGGCACAGGGAGGTCACACGGATGGTCAGGATAGAGCCGAGGTCAGGAGCCGAGTGTTTGACTCCAGAGCCCTGTTCTTAGCCACACCCTGCAGGATGCTTCCACACAGGATGGGGCGTTTTAGCTGAGCCTCACGGTTCCTGTCTACGCCATGCGCAGTTCCCGTTATTAACACCTTGTGTTAGCCTGGGACATTCACCACAAGGAGGATGCCAGCATCAGCACGTTAGTGTTCTCCAAACGCCGTGCTTTGTTCAGCTTCCGCCAGTATTTCCTTTTCCTGTCCCAGGATCCCACCAGGACACCATAGTACATCTTAGGCTGGGACAGTTTGGTCACTTTGCTTGTGTTGGATGACCTTGTGAGCTCTGAGGAGAGCTGGCCAGGCATGCTGGAGGATGCCTCTGAACATGGGTCTGTCTGATGATTTTCTGGGCATCAGACGGGGTTGTGGGTTCTTGGGAGGAGGGCTGCAGGGGTGAGTGAGGGACATCAGACCAAGCGCCGGCCGTCAGCAGACCTGTCACTGATGGCACTGCCCTTCCTTCCCAGCCAGGGTCCTGCATGTCAGACCCTCCCTGGTGGAGTCACTCTTCTCCTTTCTGCACTGTCCTCTTGGAAGGAAGTCACCGCGCACAGCCCACGCTTGAGGGGTGGGAGTAACCCTCCTCCTCGAAGATGGAAGAGCCACATCTATGATTTGGAATTCATTAGCATGGGAGACGTTTGTCTCTTCCCCTCCATTATTTACTCATTCAATCATTTATTTATATCACTATGAGCTTATAAATATTTATTTTATACTTCAGTTGTAATTGCAGACTGTTCTGATATTTTGTTGCTCAAATAGCTCCAGCTCTGAACTCAGGGAGCCCTTTCAGTTGGGCCTTGTGTCTCTATGACACGCCCTCATCATCCTTCTCCCGCCCAAGGTTCTTCTTGTTTTTTTTTTTTTTTTTTTTTTGAGACAGAGTCTCGCTCTGTTGCCCAGGCTGGAGTGCAGCGGCACAATCTTGGCTCACCATAACCTCTGCCTCCCAGGTTCAAGCGATTCTTTCGCCTCAGCCTCCTGAGTAGCAGGAATTACAGGCGCCCGCCACCACACCTGGCTAATTTTTGTATTTTTAGTACAGATGGAGTTTCACCATGTCGGCCAGGCTGCTCAAGAACTCCTGACCTCAGGTGATCCACCCACCTTGGCCTCCCAAAGTGCTGGGATTAAGGTGTAAGGTGTAAGCCACGGTGCCCGGCCTGCCCCTCCCGAAGTTCTGCACACACTGCACGTGGATTCCCCAGGTAACCAGGAAAAAGGAAGGAAGTCCTCAGGACCTCTTGGCTCATTCATCATGCTTTCAACGTTGACCCACACGTCTGTGCCATTTGGCCAGGGAAGCCCAAATTCCCCTCATTAAAGCGCTTTTTCCATGATACAGTTCTTCAAATGTTCTTACAAGGCAACTATGTGTCCACCATCCTCACTGGCCTGTGTGCCATTTTTGTACCTCGAGCAAAACAGAACTGACACGGAGCTGGCTGTTAATCCCACCCGATGGACACATGAAGGAGTGCATGCAGGAATGAGCGCATGAGCAATGCCGTCTCAGTCTGTGACCCCTAAGGGAATTGTGTGTTTGCTTTTCGCCTCTGGGAGGAAAACAGCCCTTATGAACATTTAAGTAGCCTGGAGAGCAAATCTCATAGAAAAAAGCTCATCCCCTTATTCATCTTCGCCACTCAAAGCTTTGCACATGAATGAAGGCTCATTCATTCATTCATTCTTCCACATTGCAAAACCACATGGTTCAAGCAAGGATTCAGGTAAACGTGGGGCTCTGTGGGAGCACAGAAGAAGGAAAATGGCACCCAGGTGTTGGGCAGGTACAAAGGCAGGTAGGAGGACTTCCTGGAGGTGGTGACACCCAGATGAG